CTGTGTGCCAGCCTGTATTTGAAGTTCACATCAACACCGATACAGCTTTGGACCACATACCAATACTGATTACTGGATACAAGGTTCGTACATCCTGTCACTAGGCCAATGTATTGAACCAAATGGGACGGAAAATGGATTTTTGTGACTCCAACTGGAACGTAAACAGGAACGAAACGAGTATTTTCAGGGATAACCAGGAGGGAAATAAGCTATTTCATTAATGTAGCTTTAGTGACTCGCTTTTAGAATTCATGGATGTTTGCTTGTTAATTGGTCTCATCACAAATCATCAAAGACAGATATGTTTCTAAAATCTCAAGTTTTATATAGAAGAAGCACAATAAATTGCACAACAGCATTATTTCTTTTAAGATTCCCACTTTGGTACCAAATTCTTATTAAGCTGTACGCCTGGTCACAACATCAAACTCAAATTCCAAGATTTCTCAACCCAGCAACAGTGTAAAATGGGCTGGTAGCGTTTTTATCGGAGCATATTACTCATACCCGTGTCTGAAGTGCTGACGCTTGAAAGAAAGAAATGCTTTAGTCAGATTCTCTGGAATGTGCCGCCATCCTAATATCTCTACTGGCACTGACTCTACTGACTGAAACCTGACACACACACAGAGTGGCCTGTGCACTAACACATGCGCTCAGCACAGACACACTGACTTGCATGTGTAAATGTGCACTGCCCTCCCTCCAGGTATTTTGTTTACATGGATGAGAGTTAAGAGAAGCGAGTCCCACTATAGAAAGAGCAGCGAGATTGTCAAGTTGTCAGGGTCACAGCCATCGGATGACAACTTATAGAGTTTGTACAGCTGAGACAAGCGCATGAATATATGCATGTGACAAAAGACACAGCCTTCTAGACCCAGGGTTAAAGACTGTGTAGAAAAACAAACATGAGCCAAACACAAGAATGGGCTTTTTATAATGAGCTCTAAATTAAGATGCACACAAACGTGACATTCCATACCACACTGACATAATGTCCTACACACAAATGCACCAGAGCAAAAACACAAGCATCAACTTCAACAAATGCCTCATTCATAATCATACAGGAACGCACAAGCACAACCATAGTGGTCACACAGACACACACACACACACACACGCACAAGCATAAAAACTCAGACAAAAGCAGAGCTTCATTGTCTGGAGGACTACACAGGCTTGGCCCCACCAACCTAAGCTGGCTAATTATAGCCTAGATACACACAATGAGAGCAGGGATGCATAAAAAAAAACAAGAAAAATAAAGAATACAAAAATTATGTGTATTAAAGAAGATAATTAATGGGAAGAAAGTAAGAGCAGATGGGAGAAATAAAAAGAGCTAAATCTTATGCTTTGCTTCTGGTATTTTATCAGTCTGTCATCACACAAACACACATAAACACCCTTGGAAAAAGTACACAACTCTACTTTGGTCTGTGTAGTTTCCATGTGCAGTCTTCCTCCAAAATATATTGTTTCATAGATTTTGGCCAAGATTATTTGAAAACTGTTAGGCAGCACATAGAGAACAGAGCTGTTGTGTGTGTGCCTCTAAAAGTATTTTTTAGCACTAGTGCAGCTTATTCATGTTCTGTCAACTGAATCCAAAGGTTGGCGCTGCTGCCTTATGTCACACTAACGTACCTATAACAATGAGGGTGTAGTTGATGTTCACACTCCCAAACCCGTTGGTAGCTTTACAGATGTAAGTCCCCGCGTCGTCAGTCTCCACCTCTTTAATACGCAGAGTGTGCTGTAACACCTTGAACCGAGTCCATCCACTGTGGATGTTGCGACCATCTTTGGTCCACATGATGAGAGGTGGGGGGTCACCCTCCACAGGGCAGGGCAGCTTCATGGTGCGGCCTAGGCGGACACTCTGCCGGTGGGCCACCCTCTCTGACACCCTGGGGGGACCTATGTAGAGCAAGAACGGGAGAGTTAGTGAAGTTACAAGACACTATTAAACACATATATGTGCCCTCTCCTCTCCCCTCCCCTCCTGCTCTCCTCTCCTCTCCTCTCCTCTCCTCCCCTCCCCTCTCCTCTCTCTCCCTATGCTTCTATATGCCACCATTACACATTACTTTGTGTCTCCTCTCTCCCGTAGTGTGTCCTCTCTCTCTCTGTACCTTTCTGTAGGTTGCCCTGGCCCTGGAGCTTTGTAAAGTGTCCTGAGATGACTTTTGTTGTGATTTGGTGCTATATAAATAAAATTTGATTTGATTTGATTTGATTTGATATAAATAAATTCATACATTTTTTTTACCACCATATCTTCAGACATGATTACAAAAAGTGTGAACCTGCTAATGTAACTTTTCACATTAGTTTACTGAATTTCTTTTCTTATATTAGACACACACACTAGGGATTAAACGGGTACTGGTGTCACATTAAACCATGGTAAAATTTCCAAGGGTCGGTATTACCACTTCAAATTTTAAGAAGCATCTTTAAATTAAATGACCGCACTTTGAAAAACTCACCCACTGAAGGGTTAAATACTAGCCAGGCTCAACCAACGTCAGTGAAAACATGGCAGAATGCAGTGACAGACTGAGGGACAACACTCCAGAGATTTGTTATCCATCTAAGAAAGAAGCCCGAAGTGTGGACATACTTTAGATTTTACAAAAAAAAAATCTCATGATGTGAGGACTTCAGAGGACTAAAGCTTTCAGTGTTACCTAGTGTCACTGCGTCATGTCTACTAGCCCACACGCTACATAGTATATTCACCCAACCAGTACATTTTGTTCATTAAACTCCAACAGCCACTGACTTGGCTGAAAAACTTTCAACAGGAGGAAGACTATAATCCTCTGTATTTCTGGAAGATTTTAGGCTCCTTACAAATACTCTGACTACTTAAGATTCATCAGTTTTTATGTACTCAAATGAACATAAAAGTGTGCATGTGAGTGTGAGCAAGAGAGAGAGACATTAATAATGTCATCAATAATAATAATAATAATAATATATTTGCTATTTCCTTTTTAACCGTGTGGTTATGTAACAAACCCAGCAGCCCACAAACCCACATCTGATACATTCTCCAATGTTTACAGAAGGTTAGGGCTGTTGGCTATCTGGTTTTTTAATGTTTATGCAAACACAACGCATAGTGATGCTAACAATTATTTGTGGTTTTCAAAATAAAACCATAAATGAATGATCTCTGTTAGTGTAAGTACTTTTTGAACATTTTCAGGATATTTTAATAGTACTGATAGTACTATTATTTAATAGAATAAGAGATAAATACACACACACACACACACACACACATATATATATATGTATTCAAATTCAAATGGGGGTTTATCGGCATGAAAGTTTCAATAAACACTGCTGCCCAAGCATCAAAACACAATTTATAAATTATAACTGCAACTGGACAATAAATCATTTATATTGATATGTATTAATACTGATATGTATTAATTATGTTTTATATATACACAGTACATTGTGTGTGTGTGTGTATTCATCCCTTATTCTCACCACAGTTCCCACACCAAGCTACAATCTAAATACGTCATGAAACACATAAATTATCCTTTAACCTTTTGTACGTTTATAATGGCTTCACTGAAGTGCTGACATTTTAATACAGACAACAACAGAATCCCCAGGTTGCAAACACAAAGCCAAGCAGTGAGTTTAATATCAACTGAGATGTCGTTTCAAGCCATAAAATCAGGCGTGACCTTGACCGCTCAGTAGCCGGTCTACTGTGAAACTGCACACTAGAAAAACAAAGCAGGGCAGGATGACTGACTGGGAAATGTGGGAGGAAATTAGAGGGTGATGGAGAAAAGTAGGAGTGATGAAGAGAACAAATGGAAATAAGGGGGAGGAGAGAGAAGGAGAGGAAGGAAGTAAAGGAGGTAAGGAAAAAAGTTAAGGGAATGAGAGACGATGGAATTTCAGGGAGTCAGCCTGAGGAAAGAAAGGGAATAGAATATGGCCAAAAAGGAGACAAGTAAAAAAAACAAACAAACAGGAAGACAGAGACTAGAAGTGGGAGGGGCATAGGAGTTAGTGAGGTTCAGTGCATATGGCCTGTCATTATTCCTTTTGGATTAAAATAATAACCTCTAAATCAAGTACTAAAACACATTTAGGCCACCATGTGGTGAACAATGTGCTCTGGCAAACTACAGAAAGTAAATGGATAAACCATCAGAACACAGCCCACGTCAGGTCACGTCCTGTAGGTTAAACAGCTTAAAGAGAGGACAAAGGGTGCTGCACGTTAACAACGCTACTGATTCAGGCTTATCTGACTAAATGCATATGGCCTGATAATGATTAGAAACATGTAAACATCAGAGGTGTATTTAATTTAATGCCCCCTTTGTCTGATACTTTATCACAGGAAATGAACACAGCTTGATGCCAGATATAATATGGAGACCTTTAATTTGCCCTTCTGAACAAAACAGTTGTAGCCTGGTGTTATTAGTCAGCTTGTGGTAGATTCTGCGGAATAAAAAAAAACAAAACAGATGAAGCATAGGTGGTCCAAGTAGAAAAGAATGTAGTCCAATTAAACAAACAAAAGAAACACAAGATATTTGAGGCCAGTGAAGCAGATTCAAGCAGATTAAAGTAGAAGTAAATAGAAGGCAAAAAGGGTTCGACGGTGAACTGTAATCAAACCAGGTGCACAGATTGTGGTTGCTGTGGTGGTTTCTGTAACAATCTGTAGCAAATGCAAAAAACCTGTGCACCACCAACAGAGTAGAACTTTATTGTGCTACTGCTGGACTTCTACTGGAGGTCTCAGTGATATTTGCTGGAGCTCTTCCCTGGTTTTACTGTAACTTTCAATGACACCACTAGACTTAACTTGTGTGTATACTTTTTTAATTTTTATTTATTTATTTATTTATTTTACATTTCTCTAGAAACAGCTAAGTGGTCAGCAGGAGTCACAGTAGCCACCATGCCTCCTGTGTTACTGTGTGGTAGGGTACCTACGGGGTCTCAGATTTAAGGAACATCACTGGTCAGCTCTGTCCAGCTGTCAACTGTCACCAAAAGAAAACAAAAAGATCGTGATTTATTATTATTAGATGACTTGCTGTCAAGCTGGTGTATTGTTTTAAGAGGAGAGCAGGAGGTGGACACAGTGATGGATGGATGAAGGTAAAATGTGTGAAAAAGGCATTAGTCACACAGAGGTATTCACGGGAGCCGCTCCTCCTTTCTCCTCATCACTGCACAGGGTAATGTGTTCATTCATCTGTATGGCTTTCTCATCAGGGGCCCGACAGCTCACTCGTTCTCCGTTTTCCTAATCTCTACCTCTGTTTCTTTCGTTCTTCTGGTTAGGTTTCATTGTTATTTATTGCTTGTTCCCTTGCTCTTCTTTCCTTCTTCCCTCCTTTATATATCTCCCTGAACACACATAAAATCATTTTTCTTGCTTTCTTACTTTAACTCCCCCTTCCTGTTTAATCTATTCTGTCTTTGTGTCTCATTTCCATACATTCCTTTTCTATATCTATATTGTCCACTGAATGTTCATTTCTTCCTTTGTATTTATTTCTTTTCTTCTTCCAACAGATTGAAATCTCATTCCCCTGAACTCTTACTACCCCCATGCTACCTCTCTTTCTTGCTCATAACCCCTTGCTTCTTCCCTACATCCTCCTCCTATCCTCTCTTTCTCCTTGTCATCACTCTTTTCTTCAAACTCTCTGCCTCTCTCTATCTGGCTCGTACTCCCTACTCTTTTTTTTCTCTCTTTCATCACACTCATACACACCAGTTTCAGCGCTGTACCTTTTCTTACTCTCTTTGGAGTGATATACCGGTCACCTGTGTTTTTCTGTTCTGCACACACACACACACACACACACACACACACACACACACACACACACACACACACACACAGTTTGTTTCTACCCCACACACACACACACACACACACACACACACACACACACACACACACACACACACACACAGCTTCCCCAGAGAATCACAGGAGCAGGACCTCTAACTGAACCTCACAACTTCTGACAGTTAACCTCTCCTACGCTCTCCCTGCTCACCCACTTTTCCTCCCCCTCTCCATCTCTGCCTGATCAGAGCAGCAGCCTTCATTCCTTTCCCACTTTCTCTCCTGATCATTGCCCTCTTCCTCTATTTCCACAGTCCATGACCAAAGTACATTTTTTTAAATCTGTCTCTAGGGGTGAAACTCAAGTGAGTAAAGAAAATCTATTCTTCTTTTTCAGGAGACAAAAGGTCACTGTGAGCGTCTGCATGTGTGTGGGTCCTTTTGAACATATATGTGCAGCTGAATGTTAGTTTATGTATGAAAGGCAGTACAAAGACTGTATATAGTCCAATTACTGATTGTGTGTCACTGTGTGCTTGAGCATCTTTGTTTATTTGCTGGGTAGCCTGCAACTCTGCGTTTGTTTGTATGTGTGTGGGAGCAAAGAAAATTGCAGGGCTTTAAAACTCCAGTCTGTTTAGTCCATTTAGGGCTTATGGCTCTCTGCTGGCTTCCCACAACAATCTAAAACACCTTGAAGATTGTTTGTCTGCCTCCAAATGCAGACAAACACAGAGCACACACTCCCTCTCCTTCCCCTTCACCTACACACTGCCCAGTAGGGGAGGTAGGTTATATGTGTATTCATGGTATTATGCAGCCTAATGGCAGGAAAATACAGCCCACATCAGAAACACACTACTCCCACGGAGGCAGAACCTTCCAGGTCAGAGCTGCACGTCCTCTACACGGACTGAAGGAGAAGGTCAAATAAAGCAAAGCAGAGATCAGTTCATACATTCTCTTCTTTAAGCAGCTACATCCTAAACAACTCAAAATGAGCTGCTTACATTCCAATATATGGCAATCTGTGTTGAATTAAGCCCTATTTGGGGGA